CCCTGCTTACAGAAACTGCCTCTCTGGTTAACCCTTATTACATTGTAACAGCTAAAGCAAAGCACCCATCAACGTGAGTGACTTTGAGTTGGCTACACCCACATGGTCACATGACCATTGGGCCACGCCTACCCAGCTGGTCATTAGGGCAGAGAACCGGTTGTTAAATTATTCGAATCCCACCACTGATTCAAATGCTAGTTTTTTCCTCCTACCTGCTTTTGAGTCAATGGACATTCTTCACCTCAAGTTGGGAGATATATTCAAACTTTACATAGTGGCTCTGTGTACTCTCAACTTTAGTCCTTTGAGCACAACCATGCAGGATATTTTGGGAAGAATTATAATAGTGACCTGCTATTACCAATTTCTGGAATATTTTCCAACTTCTCAGTCTAGTATACTGAGATTCTCTGGTGGGACCCACCCTTGCACTAATATATCTGACTTTTCTTAGAGGAATTCAGACAAGTCAGCTGAGCGCTATCATTTGATGAGATATTTTGCAACACAAATGTTGTAACTATAATATATCATTGCATAAACTTTCCATTAGCTATCCAGTTTTGATTTCTTTTCTAAAATGTGTGCCTAAAGTCATGAACATGCTAATCATATGATCATGAAGGCTATTTCCCAAAGTGTGCCTTCATAGATCATTTATGAAGATATTGAAGAGTACTGGGCCTAAATCTGAACCTGGACCACTTACTTCCCTCCATGTAGATGAGGTTTCACATTGAATATGGTTTGTCAGCCAGTTCAATTCCACCTGGTGGTGATGCTGTCTATTCCATATTTTTCTAGCTTACCAAGAAGTAGGTTGTGATCTACTTTGTCAAATGTCTTACTGAAATCTAAGTATACTATGTTCACGGCATTTTGCTGAGCTACTAATTTAGTCACTTTGTCAAAGAGTGAAATAAGATTTCTTTGGCATGATCTGTGTTTGATGAAGCCATGTTGGCCACTGGTTATAATTGTATTTGTTTCTAGGTGTATAAGAAAGATGGATATTTGTTTATAGATAATTTTGATATTATAATGATTCTAATGAGATATTTATTTGTTTATGGATATTTGTTTCTAGGTATTTAAGAAAGCTGGATATTTGAAGATGGAAATGCATTTATTCAGTGATAAATCTATGCATGAACATCACTCAATGAGCAGCACATGTGAATTAGGTACCATTACACCCACATAAGAGCCGAGGTAGCACAGTGGTTAAATGCAGCACTGCAGGCTACTTCAGCTGACTGCAGTTCTGCAGTTCGGCTGTTCAAATCTCACCGGCTCAG